TGCGAAGAAAACATATCATAGTCACGTGTGTTCTCTTATTTCCTTGCAGGGTTGTTAATTCTGATAACATGAGTATTATTGGTGTCACAATTGATTATGGGCCGTACGGATTTCTGGATTATTATGATCCTGATTATCTCAGTCAGTCATCGGGTGAGTACCAAGTTAACTGCAGTCAATATCCACTAACATGCGGGTCAAGTTGTTTTTATTTGTTTTGACACTATGAAATAAATGAAAGAAAATTTTCACCAATCTTTTGCTCTCATTTGGAAGTATTTTCTTTTTTCTCATTTCTACTTTGTTTCTGTTTTCCTTTTGTTTTACTGATCACTTGGTTGAAAACTCTTGAACTTTCAGTAGTTCATTATTTCAATGGGTACTACTAGACCTTTCAGTATTCTGATTAACATTTGACTAATGGCATATCAACTTGCTTGTTTCCTGTCCAATTAATATTAGTCAGTTGTGTACTGAGAACAGAATCGTTTATTTTTCACTTTAAAAAACTATTGCGCTGGTTTTAGACGCTAGACGAAGGAATTCATTTAAGAACCAACCCGAGCTGTTCAAGTGGAATTTGCTGAAGTTAGCGGAAGCCATTCAAGATGCAGTGCCTCTACAAGAATCCATCTCTTCTTTAGAAGAACGGTAGGTATATCGGTGCATACAGTGTGATGTGGTTTAATTTTACCCTTGGTACAAATTTTGTTTTGATTCCTTTTCTTTTTGGATATGCTAATAGCGTAAGGGAATAAAAACAACGATAGAAAAAGTTAAGCTTTGACCTACAAATTGACAAACTTGTAGTAAATGAGTAGAAGGACAAGGTTCCCGTTTCCCAGATTTTGCTGACTTATGAAAAACCGAAATGGTAAAAAAAGAACGACACCATGAGACACCAATAAGGAGAATACGGAATGTTCTTCGTTTTGTTTACGCATCCAAGCTTTCTTTTTTATTTTGACAAACACAGGCACTGGCAAATTAAATACGGACGGTTTGCTGCGTCTTCAGCACAAAGATCTGCAAATAGGCTCGTCAAGGCTGCAGAATTACGTGCGACGGTCAGAGAGTAGGCAAGCTCTTGACTTGGGACTTTGGGAAGTGTATTCTCCCTTCGCTTTATCTCGAGAGAACCTGCTAGTGAGAGGACCAGTTTCTTTATATCTTCTGATTTTCTTTCAGATTCCATGCGGAGTTTGAGAACTGTTTCCTTGCAAAGATGAGGTTGAAAGTGAGTCGTAGTAGTTTCTTATTTGAATGATTTATTTGATTCATATGTCCAGGAACAGTTGACATTATCGCATTTTATTGTAATTTCAGCTGGGCCTGGTAAAGAAAGAACTCCCAACGGACAAGTAAGTAAATGGGAATCTTTATCGAAAAGCCACCGAAGCGATCTCTGTGAAGAAGACAACGTTTTAACTGAATTCCCGCCCATTGTTTTATTTATAATCACTGAAACATAGGCACATATTCCCACCCTGACACTCGAATGAGAAGGGGAAGGGCCGGGGACCGGGGACCGGGAGCAGGGGGCAGTATGGTCGAGTGTCAGACTCGCTGTATCGCTCTGACCACTAGCTGGTCTTGTCTGTTGATAATTCTGAGCCTTGTCTAGTTCTGGTGAGATGGGCAAGAACTGGACTATTCCTCGGCGGCGCGGCGGTAGCCAGAAGGTTTCCTCCGGACGGAGTGACAATTGGGGTTCAGCTAATGCAATTCCACGGTAAACAAGACATTTACTATTTACCAAAGGGAAGGAGGAAGGTGGAGAATCGAGCGTGCGAGGACGCGTAGGGCACCTGACTTGCTTTTTTTTCTCCCCTCCTTTTCAAGCATCTTCTTACGCGGGCTTAAGGTGACTCGACCCAGTTTTTTTGGGGGGGGTACCATCCTACTTTGAAGCTCTCTGGTATCCCCACCTTTACTTTTATCGTAAGTCTAACACATAGAATGGATAACATATAGATCAATCTACAATATAACATAAAATTTTTGGCGATCGGAGTAAATGTCACGTGGTTATAATGCCACGCCCCTTTGAGGTCTGAGTCGAAAATCTGCTGTTGCCGGCATTTTTTCGTGAAAATCTCTCGGCTACACATAGTGCGCATTAGTGCCTTGCGCTGAACAGAGTTTCACCAAAATCGCAAAGACCCAATTCGAGAAATTCAGCGGTTTCCAAATTTAGGTCATAATTTATGCGAAAATGATAAGCAAACTTTACACGGATTATATCTAATAAACTATGAGATTCATCTCTTTATTTTGGGCATCGTTATAACAGATGGGTCCTTGCAAGTCAGCAAAACGCTTTAGGGCCTTGTAAATGCGCGCGATTTCGAGCAAAGCAAACATATAGAAATTATAGTTTTCGCTATTTGTTGACGTTTGTCAGCGTTTAAGAGTCCTTCTCACGAAAAAAGCATTTTCTTAAAAATTCGTAGTTTTTTTTCCTTCAAATTTTTTCAGGGCCACAATTGATTAACTAACTACCCGGACTCTGAATTTCATGGTCATTGAAAAACTGTGACATTATCTTCTATAAGCCCAAACTTGAGTAAACATTGAAGATTTTTAGCGTTTTGGCTGAGTTTGTGCTTTGGGAGTTGTCTATTGTTTCTAGTCTGTCATTATACAGCATTCTTGTTCAGCACGCGTGCAATGACCACGCTTGGCTGACTTCCGAATGCTCACCGAGATATTCCCGTCACGAGTTGGTTTAATTATTGGCTTGCATTAAACCTATGAAAAAATGATATTTTTTTAATAGTAAGTAGATTTAGTGTGTAGCACTTCTTGATTTTTTTGCAAAGGCACAAGAAGCACGAGAATTGATTAAAAATTGTGACTTAAACCTCTATGTATCACGCGATGGCCTGTCTCACTGTACCAAAATTATTATATCTCGGTGAGCATTCGGAAGTCAGCCAAGCGCGGTCATTGCACGCGTGCTGAACAAGAATGCTGTATAATGACAGACTAGAAACAATAGACAACTCCCAAAGCACAAACTCAGCCAAAACGCTAAAAATCTTCAATGTTTACTCAAGTTTGGGCTTATAGAAGATAATGTCACAGTTTTTCAATGACCATGAAATTCAGAGTCCGGGTAGTTAGTTAATCAATTGTGGCCCTGAAAAAATTTGAAGGAAAAAAAACTACGAATTTTTAAGAAAATGCTTTTTTCGTGAGAAGGACTCTTAAACGCTGACAAACGTCAACAAATAGCGAAAACTATAATTTCTATATGTTTGCTTTGCTCGAAATCGCGCGCATTTACAAGGCCCTAAAGCGTTTTGCTGACTTGCAAGGACCCATCTGTTATAACGATGCCCAAAATAAAGAGATGAATCTCATAGTTTATTAGATATAATCCGTGTAAAGTTTGCTTATCATTTTCGCATAAATTATGACCTAAATTTGGAAACCGCTGAATTTCTCGAATTGGGTCTTTGCGATTTTGGTGAAACTCTGTTCAGCGCAAGGCACTAATGCGCACTATGTGTAGCCGAGAGATTTTCACGAAAAAATGCCGGCAACAGCAGATTTTCGACTCAGACCTCAAAGGGGCGTGGCATTATAACCACGTGACATTTACTCCGATCGCCAAAAATTTTATGTTATATTGTAGATTGATCTATATGTTATCCATTCTATGTGTTAGACTTACGATAAAAGTAAAGGTGGGGATACCAGAGAGCTTCAAAGTAGGATGGTACCCCCCCAAAAAAACTGGGTCGAGTCACCTTAAGTGAACACGAAAAATTTGCCAATGAGCATTAGTGTGAACTCTCTTGATAAATTTAAAGCTGTGGTACTTCCAGTTATAAAGTTATTGTTATAACTTTTAGGAAATAATTTATTTATTAGTATATTCGTATTTCAAATTTCTATATTTATACTTCATATATTTATATGAACTTTTTATTAAAATATTTTTGTTTCTTTCTTATAATAATTATATGCGCATATTTTTATAATACTTTGTTTTTATAACTCCTAGTATAGTTTTAACGTTTTTAGGATTACATTGATTAAAGGATTAATAGCCTGCAAAGCAGGCGTATTTTGGAGCGGGATCCATGAATTGTTTTCAGGAATGACGTTGTCCCGCCATCTTGGACGTTAATACTACCAGAGAGTTGGGACGAGTCAAAAAGTGATTTTAAGGGAGAGGTAGATGGGTTTAAAATAGGGGAGGGGGAGGGGACGATCAATGTACCTCCGAGCTTTCGTTAAAAAACGTCTGCTGCGCAGGCTAGTGTCTCCCTCGCGTGCGTCTGTTCTCTCTATCGCCCAGTACTTCCAAGCGCCTGCTACGCAGGCTAAATCCAAAAAGGCATATGTTCATGACTTCAATTTTATAACGAGATTATTCGTATCATCTAAGAATAACTTACACAAAACCCGGAGAATTGAGGGCACGAACGTTTACACACCCTGTGATTTAGGGACCAGCCAGTTGGAGCGGGGGTGGAGGAGAAATTGGGGGGCCTTCAATTTTTTTTGGATGGAATATGGGGGGCCTTAAAATGCCAAAAGATGAACTTGGGGAGGTCTTCAAGTTTATTTTAAGTGGCATCCCTACTGAGCAGCATGATGCTTGAGTATTAAAGGACCTGATTTTGATTCAGTTTTACACAAAGTCCTATATTGTGTAATACTAAAACAATTTAATCATTATTTTGATAAAAAGATTTAATGCTCAAATAGTAGGTGCATCAACACAACATCCATTATTACTTGTGTAACACTGAAACAATTTCATCGGCATATTAACAAATGATTACATGCATAAAGTCATGTTATGCAATCTTACTATCCGAATCATTATTTGTAGATGAGGTTGATGTGGACTCACTGTCTGTGTCACTGTCAAGTTTTTGGCCATTAGAGAATGTACTGCTCACATAAAAAGCAGTGAGCTTTGCATGAAGCTTTAAAAAGCAGTGAGCTTTGAACATGCTTCCCGCATAGCTTCACTGTACATCTTTTTCACCGAAAAAAAGCACTGTTATCTCTATTGTAAAAGGTTAAAGGGGCTGTGTCACAGCAGTCCAGTTCATTTTGTTTAATTTAATATTGAAGAAATCTCGTACTCGTAGTCGTACTTGTCTCAGAAGAAGGTCTGAATGGGGTTTAATGTTTAGTGTTACAGTCGACTCCCGATATCTCGAACCCTCACAAACTCGAACCTCGCGCTAATTTGAACCAAAATCGATTTCCCATGGATTTCCTTCATACATTCACTATAATTTTACCCTCGGTAACTCGAACCCTCGATAACTCGAGCCTCCCGCTAACTCGAAGTAATTTTTGTTTCCCTTCAGATCATTCCTGTATAAATTTACCCTCGATAACTCCAACCATGCTTTAAGCGCCTGAAAAGTAGAAAAAGTGTACTACAGTCTAAAATATTGAAATATTTTAACAACCATGCATTCTTTGTCTTTACTCTTTTGTTAGTCTAGTTTAAATACAGTGTCCAGCACTGTGTATTTTTCAAGCTTTGAAGTGTGGATGTTGCTTGCATGATTTCCCATGCCATTTCCTCCTTTCCGGTTAGTTGCTTCGTACTCCCGATAACTCGAACTTCTGGTAACTCGATCTTTTCTCGATTTCCCTTTAAATTAAGGTTCGAGTTATCGGGAGTTGACAGTATTTTCCCACAATTTTTAGTGTTTGCTGTTTCCGAAGAAAGTACTGTTGAGTGTTTGGAGGGTTCTTCGGCAATGGTCGGACCTTTTCATTACTCTTCGGTAGTTTTCGGGAATCTTCGGTAGCCTTCGGAAATAAATTCTCGTAAAATGGCCGAAAACTGCTGGATATACTAACCAAAATAATATTGGCCTTTTTGGAGCCGTTTTTGCTTCTCTCTGTAAAAAAATTTACTGTTTCAAATATTTTTGCCTAAAATTTAACTGTTTCTTATTACAAAGCCAAAAAAGGAAGTGCTTAGTGCTATCGAGGTACCCCTATTCTGACCCTCTTGGAATTTTAAGGTGGTTGAACACAGTTTTGGCAGTTTGTGAGTATATGTCATTTGCCAAATCATGGCAAGAGAAAGGTTGCAGCTCACAAGCTGAAACTTGGCAAGTGAAAAATATACTGATGCAAGATTTTGATTGACAGGTAAAACTTGACGTTTTCGCAGTTTCCATGGCAACATGAATGATTGAATACAACCTTAAAATTTCACTTTTCTTCAGTTTACATAAAATTCGCTCATTAGATTTTCCTATAAACTTGCACACAGCCTACTATAACTAATCATTACCAGTTGAAACTTATTTGATCAAATTTTAACAGACGGACTTTTAGATAATCAATAATATAATTGTATTGTAATTATTAAATGTGTCACGAAATTCGTCTGTTCAACTTCCATTTTAATGTTTTCATTATCTAAAATACGATAAAAGTAACAATTTTGCCAAATATCACAAAATTTTAATGAGTAGATTTTGAGAAATCGTCTTCTGTGTACCATTGCTTTTTCGCCGCCATGTTTGTTTGTCTAATTAAAAACACGCGCGCTCATGCGAGTTACCGCTGACCGCCCGCAAAACTGTGTTCAGCCACCTTAAGGTCTCCAATGTTTTCTTTCCGCTTTGCTTTTATTGGGAGGTCATGAAGTCGGTTACTGTTCATTCAGTAGTTGCCTTGGTTTTTTATCCTTTGCTGTATCATAAATTGACCTTGGATCAGTAGCTGAAGGTGTCAGTTTTTCCTTTCTTGAGGTCCTGCCAGGCGGGGGGGGGGGTCGCTCGTCTGAAATTTAAAACGTCTTGTGTCGGTGTTTATGATGCTTCATGTCGCTGTCGAAAATGGAACGAAAATTCTTTGTCTTTGTCGGAATTTTAGAAAAGGGGATAGAGATGCGTTGTAAAGAAACTATTACGGTTCTGCAATTTCTCAGTTAACGTGCCGCGTCTATATATCGCCATTCACAATTGAGTGATCCACGTTCAACATTTTAAGACTAAAGGTGGATTTCCACTGTAGCTTAATTTTTCCGTGCGTACGCACGTAATTTTTAAGCGCGTAAAAAAATAGAGGCTATATATGAAAGGCCACGCATAAACGTAAACGTTGAACCTCGCTCAACTCTTACGTTTACGCGTGGCCTTTCATTCATTGCCTCTATTTTATTTACGCGCGTAAAATTTACGTGCGTTCGCACGGAAAAATTACCCGTCAGTGGAAATCAACCCTAACTGACCTGTTAAATCGTGAAGGCACAGTGGTCTACTCTGAGAGCGGTTGGAAGGTGGGTGGTTAGGTTACCTGGCCCGTGGTCTCTCCACCGTCGTCACCGCCGTGTTGCTTACATTAAGGTGGCTCGAACCAGTATTTTTATAGGCACATCCTCCATCTTTGAATCTTTTTTACTTAAACAAATCGATCTGTATTGTAAAACGATCATAACACATGGATTACACTTAGAATAAAGTTTATTATGGTATTATTTGTTTGGCGATCGGAATAAATGTCACGTGCAATGAGGTCACAATGGTTTTAGCTCTAAATCGAATTTCAGCCCTGTTGGGCATTTTCTGTTGAAACGCTTTACGCTACGTATTCTTTGGATAAATGTCTTCTGCTGGGCAAAGTTTCACAAAAATCTATAGGAGGAATTTCGAGATATCTCGGAATTTCTATAAAAAGGGTATAAATTATGCATACTCTGAAGACTGGACTTAAGGTGACTCGACCCAGTTTTTTGGGGGGAGTACCATCCTACTTTGAAGCTCTCTGGTATCCCCGTCTTTACTTTTATCGTAAGTCTAACACATAGAATGGATAACATAAAGATCAATCTACAATATAACATAAAATTTTTGGCGATCGGAGTAAATGTCACGTGGTTATAATGCCACGCCCCTTTGAGGTCTGAGTCGAAAATCTGCTGTTGCCGGCATTTTTTCGTGAAAATCTCTCGGCTACACATAGTGCGCATTAGTGCCTTGCGCTGAACAGAGTTTCACCAAAATCGCAAAGACCCAATTCGAGAAATTCAGCGGTTTCCAAATTTAGGTCATAATTTATGCGAAAATGATAAGCAAACTTTACACGGATTATATCTAATAAACTATGAGATTCATCTCTTTATTTTGGGCATCGTTATAACAGATGGGTCCTTGCAAGTCAGCAAAACGCTTTAGGGCCTTGTAAATGCGCGCGATTTCGAGCAAAGCAAACATATAGAAATTATAGTTTTCGCTATTTGTTGACGTTTGTCAGCGTTTAAGAGTCCTTCTCACGAAAAAAGCATTTTCTTAAAAATTCGTAGTTTTTTTTCCTTCAAATTTTTTCAGGGCCACAATTGATTAACTAACTACCCGGACTCTGAATTTCATGGTCATTGAAAAACTGTGACATTATCTTCTATAAGCCCAAACTTGAGTAAACATTGAAGATTTTTAGCGTTTTGGCTGAGTTTGTGCTTTGGGAGTTGTCTATTGTTTCTAGTCTGTCATTATACAGCATTCTTGTTCAGCACGCGTGCAATGACCACGCTTGGCTGACTTCCGAATGCTCACCGAGATATTCCCGTCACGAGTTGGTTTAATTATTGGCTTGCATTAAACCTATGAAAAAATGATATTTTTTTAATAGTAAGTAGATTTAGTGTGTAGCACTTCTTGATTTTTTTGCAAAGGCACAAGAAGCACGAGAATTGATTAAAAATTGTGACTTAAACCTCTATGTATCACGCGATGGCCTGTCTCACTGTACCAAAATTATTATATCTCGGTGAGCATTCGGAAGTCAGCCAAGCGCGGTCATTGCACGCGTGCTGAACAAGAATGCTGTATAATGACAGACTAGAAACAATAGACAACTCCCAAAGCACAAACTCAGCCAAAACGCTAAAAATCTTCAATGTTTACTCAAGTTTGGGCTTATAGAAGATAATGTCACAGTTTTTCAATGACCATGAAATTCAGAGTCCGGGTAGTTAGTTAATCAATTGTGGCCCTGAAAAAATTTGAAGGAAAAAAAACTACGAATTTTTAAGAAAATGCTTTTTTCGTGAGAAGGACTCTTAAACGCTGACAAACGTCAACAAATAGCGAAAACTATAATTTCTATATGTTTGCTTTGCTCGAAATCGCGCGCATTTACAAGGCCCTAAAGCGTTTTGCTGACTTGCAAGGACCCATCTGTTATAACGATGCCCAAAATAAAGAGATGAATCTCATAGTTTATTAGATATAATCCGTGTAAAGTTTGCTTATCATTTTCGCATAAATTATGACCTAAATTTGGAAACCGCTGAATTTCTCGAATTGGGTCTTTGCGATTTTGGTGAAACTCTGTTCAGCGCAAGGCACTAATGCGCACTATGTGTAGCCGAGAGATTTTCACGAAAAAATGCCGGCAACAGCAGATTTTCGACTCAGACCTCAAAGGGGCGTGGCATTATAACCACGTGACATTTACTCCGATCGCCAAAAATTTTATGTTATATTGTAGATTGATCTATATGTTATCCAGTCTATGTTGTAGACTTACGATAAAAGTAAAGGTGGGGATACCAGAGAGCTTCAAAGTAGGGTGGTACCCCCCAAAAAAAACTGGGTCGAGTCACCTTAAGCAGCCTGTATTAACCCTAATCATTATCTTAAAACGCTTCACGTAGTCTTTGTTAGTTTGAAACAATTTTGTAATTTTTACCCAGACTTGACTTGCTTCCAATGAGAAAGAAAGACAAGCATTTCTTGTTTTAATTAAATTAATAAGCATTTTGTTCTTAGGAATGTTATCACATCTCTTTTTGATACCATGGAACAAACCGGGGCAGACTTCACAAACACCTTCAGATGTCTTTGCCGAGTATCACCATCAAGTTGCACTTCAACAGAAAGCGGGTTAGAGCTTTTCCTTTCCTCCCTGTTTGTTTTTCCTTTTGCAGTCTAATTTTTCTGTCTGTGAATTATCAAGTTTTCCCGGGAGCGCTGTCTCCTACAACCAACCAGAAGTGTTTCATATTTGAGTCCTTAAACAAAGAAGTCTGTTGTCCTCTTTAATAATAATAATAATAATGGAATTTATATAGCGCTTATACATCGCTGTTCTAAGCGCTTTACAATCTAAAAAAGGACATAAGAATATCATTGAGCACAAGCTTACATTTAACCCTACTGTACATATTGGGAAATTTATAGCATACACGTCTTAAAAAGGGAAGAAAAAAAAACCAAATACGATGAAACTAAATGTCATATACCTTTTTAAAAAGAAACGTTTTCAACTTAGATTTAAAAAGATTAACATCAGAACAAGCTCGAATTTCAAAGGAGAGATTGTTCCATAGTCGGGGGGCAGCAACGGAAAACGTTCGCTGGCCATAAGTTTTCGCGTAGAAAACAGCCTTGTCACTTTGGAAATTAATTCTAGCTTCTTATAGTCGCACATTTAGTGACTGAAAGTACATATCATGAAAAACAGTGGCATTTTGGGTGTTGGATTGATTGTTGTTAGGCCCAAATCATCGTTTTGTTTGAAAAATACAGATTTATGGAACATATGACTGCTCCAACTTCATCTAACACCTTTGGACCAGTTTTAAAACCTTTTTGATTGGTGTTCGATGATGTGGGAAGGTGCTGAATGTTTTTGGTGTTGGATCAGAATTGATTTAGTAAAGACTGGTTAGGCCAGTTTAAACAATTTCACCTCTATGCAACAATGTTTGATGATGTTGGACCAGCGTTGTTAGATCCTGTTTATTTGTACCTTAACATCAGTACTGTTGTAGTGATCTTGTTAACAGTTCATTTTCAATGTACTTCTCATCCTTTTTCTTAGTGATGAAGACGTGGTAGAGTATTTGGTATCTCAGTGCGTCTCACTTCAAGGGATGATAAAAACCACTTCAAACTTTGTAGAATGGAGGTCAGTCTTTTTATAGTCCTTAACAATATCATGAATAAAGCGATGGTTTAGGTATTAGCGAATGATTTGTTTTGTCGAGGCGTTTGTGAGCCCATCAACATAAAGCCTTAACCACGTCACACATCAGCTGAGAAGTCTGAGCAGCTAACATGCAGTTCTCAACAGTTCTCAGTGCTTTCAATTTTCCGGGAAAAAACGCAGCGTCTGAAACTTGCAAGTGTGGTAATTTTTGAATAGGATAAAACTTTGTTCATTTTTGTTTTAAATTTTTTGATTTTTGAATAATTGATGAATGAGCTACTGCAAAGGGATTCGAGAGCGGACGTTTTCGTAGCCAGTTCCAGGCGTTAAGGAGCGAGTAAAAACCTACGCGGCGAAAACTAGGGGAAAATCGACGAGAAGGCTAGGACTAGTCTCCCCTCGGTTGTTTTCCTCGTCAATTTTTCGCCCGCTATTAACTATCTGATCGCCTGGAACAAGCTAACGTTTTCGCCCTGATAAACACTCGCAGGATCCGTTGTTTCTGACTGGTTGAGGAAGGTACTCATTCAGTAAAGCAAAAATAGCGTCCGAAAGCCAAAACGAAAAAACGTTCCGCACGCAATTGAAAACCACTCACTCTCCCTCTTACTAACTTGTTCCTTGTATTGATTTTCAGTCAACTGATGGAAATGTCTCGTGAGGTTTGGCAGTCAAGTCCAAATGTGATATCTCAGTTACAAATGGAAGCTGAAAAGCATCGAAAAGATGACCAAGAACGCAAGGAAAAAGTGCGAAAACTTAAGGTTCGTCCTTAATAGGATACAAGATGCCCTGTATTTGACGTATTCTTTGGGACGTGTAAGCGTTTCATACTTAAAGTCTTTGATTTAATTCTGAGGTTCTACATTCAAAACATTGTGTTTGTAAGTCTCTTTTTATACAGCCAAAAATGGCGTATGTCAGTAGTCCCCACCTCACTCATGTGATCCCCGGCTTCCGGCGGGGTAGAAGTTTGCTTTTTTTTTGCTTTGTTTTGGTACAACAAAAAAATGGATAACGGAGAAATAAGTTTGAGAGAACCTGCAGTGGAATAGCAAGCCATCCAGGAGGGAAAATGTTGGGAGTGTAACGCAATACTCGTGGGTGCCCTGTGGTGTATGTCTAATACTAAGGATTTGCACATTTTCCCATGAGTGACATTGTCATCGTACAACAGGGAACACCAAAAGAGCAAATTACACATGGGCTGACTTTAAAAAAAATAACAAGTACTTCTATTATAGTCTCGAAGGGAGCTTAACTAACTGAATTGACTTTTCTCAGATGTTAACTCAAGAAGAAAAAGAGAAAAACGACAGAAAGTTATGGAAAGAATGGATCCGAGAATATAAGTAAGTTGTTTCTATTTACTTTTGCAATGGCGGGACTGATAGCGATTATATAAACTGCCAACTGGGACTGCAAGCAGTGATTCAGCGCCCACAGTGCCTGTTTTGTCAAGCAGCCATTGTTATCATAATTACATCTTTGTTTTTCTCCAGAGTTCGCCTTGATCAGGAGTTCGATGGGCAGCAGAATTCAGATCAGGTAAAACAATGTCGTTATTAGGCTCTTTCCTCTTTTAGGTCTTGGGAGTCACGTGAGGCGCATGAAGGAGAGACCCTGAATAGCAAGGTGCTGGAAAGGAATTGAACTTGGAATCGAGGCTTTTGGACTATCAAATAAGAATTCTGCTGTTTTTATGACTATTTTGTTAAGGCAGACTAATTAGTCCACTTCGTGCCTTTCAGATTACATTATTGTATGGATTACACAGAGGTAGGTTGACTATTCTCGTCACTATTGACTTTTTTTTCCTTACATAGGTTAATAACGAACGAATCAGGATAATGAACTCAAACAATCCAAGGTAGGTTAATGCTTTGGGGATATATATGTTTGTGTATATTACCAGGTATATATTCGTTGATCTAATCACTTAATGGCAGGGTGTTTTCTCTCCAGACTCCGGTTAGAGGAGACACTACAGATTTAGCTAGCTTCTTCAATTTGTGCTGGTCTCAACTGAGCGGTTTTGTTGGAAGACACTGAAAATGCAGTTTCGTGATGCCCTCTTTTGAAACTCTATCTTAGTTTATTGACTTTCAGAGTGACCAAAGAACCCCCTGAGTCATAGGAGAAGAGGTTACGGAGGGATTGGCAGGTTATACCCCGGCCTGACTGTCTCCTGAACTCATGTATTTTATCGTGTTATCATATTATTACCCGGGACGATCCCGCAAGCAATTTCGTTGGAAAACCATATAAAAAAAGTCCCGTATCAGGGCCGTACGCGTCAAGTGATAGGGTCGGAAAAACGTGTACGGCCCTGCTCGAAAAGCTTAATGATCGATGCGGACTCGCTTCGTCAGAAAAATTCAAGAACATAACGGTCATATGATAAAATGCTTATGAGTTAGATTGGGCCGGGTCCGTGCCTCCTGACGAGAGCCAAATATTTTCCCGTCTGGCCCTTCTACTCAGTCAGTAAGTATATATCATTTACCAAAAGCAAATGTACAGGAGAAGAATTATTATGATCCAGGTTTTCTAAGTTGGGGAATGTTGAACTACATACCCAGAGTAGGTGTTACTGAGGTACTAGAAACTTTTGTAATCGGGGATTTGCGATAAATGTTAAAGGCAGCTTATCAGTCTTAACTGTTGTGCATTTCCTCTTTAGACTT